AAAATGAAATACATTTTTACCTTTGAGGCATTTTATCAGATTCTTTACAAATAGTAAGAGCGCTAAATAATACGCTAATAGCAGTAATATAATATCCATTGTTACAAGTGACTTTTGTCACCATCTCCTTATTTGGTGGATCCGAATGAACGTCGGAAGGTTCACTTAATTTTTCAGTCCAACCACGTGTTAAAAAAGTTGCACATATCTCGATTTTGTTCAATGCTTCTTCACTCGGCTCTTTTCGACTMACWAAYCCGTWAGTAAATAGTTCAGGATACTAAAAATAAACAATATTTTTCTTATCTTATATAAAACTAACATATCTTTTGTACGTGAAAACGTGTCTGATTTGTCGCATTTTCCAAATTACCTTCAATATTAAATTGCGTCCAGATGAAAATTTTGAAAGAACAAGAGTTATTAATAATAGCATTAATGCAATAATTTTCGTTAGAAATCTAATAAAGAAAAATTTTTGATTAATATGGTGATTATTATTATCTGAAAGAAAAAACAAGTTACATTTATATTTGAAAAAAAAATACTAACTTAGCTTTGATACTTAAATATATTGCAACCTGAGCAGGTCTTTGATTATATTCTTCATACAAAAATCTTTGTGTGCGATGAACCATTGAATAATCTGGACCAATGAATAACACTGAATAATTATTTGTAAAAGGAGATTTGTGCGGAAGCCTGCGTCTAATATAAAAAAAATGGTGATATAATATTTTATAAGCAATTTTTAATATAGTTTAAATTAGGGTTTCTCAAACTTTTTTTATTCAGCAGCCAACTTTACCCTAGCAAATATTATCGCAATCCTCAGTATAGAATCTACACTATCTTCTCTCTCACTAACATAAACTCAYAGATATACTATACAGTAGTTTTGCTTAATTGATTTCAAATTCATTTTYRGTCATTGCCCGCCCAGRAACGTCGTAGTTCYMAATTTCTGAYTCAAATTTCTGCAACCTCYAAGTTTAGKTACATGATCCCACTYTTTGAGAAACCCTGATCTAAATAATATTTATAATAATATATTTATAGATCAATTATATAATAATTCAACTAACTTTATATTTAATTTGGGCTTAAATTCTGGTAATTTTTTGRARAATARTTTYYTACGATTTTCACGTAATTTMTCAATATTGCCCAATAYATTAATARSACTTTCCAAAGTTGTAAAGTKTAMTAWAGGTTTGYTWAGYTTTACRTGATYTGATATACTAATGTATTCTTCAATGCTATTAACTTCGCCGCCAAACTTTTGTTGTGTAAATATGATACCAAGATCAGAAGGAATGCTATCAAAACCACAAGCACTTATAATATAGACGCCAGCTTTTTGTGCTGCTTCGTTATACTTCAATACCATTTCTTCTATGAACTAGCAACAGACAAACATAAAAAAGATCAAAATTATTTTTATGATAACAAAATTGATATATCTTTGACTTTCTTAGAAAATGTTAAAACATTAAAGATCTACTGTGTAGTCCTATGTCAAATTTTTTAGTTGAATATCTTTGACGTAATATGTTTCACAGTTCAAGTTATATATAGTATGTAGCTAAATATTTCATCCAAACAATATCGGTCACAAATGTGTTAATAGTTTATCCAATACAAGAATAAAGTCAATACATACCGTAGATTCTCCACTTATATCAACGTAGTGAGTTTTTGCAGCTATACAAGCTTTAATAACAGGCTCTCCATAAAAAGCAAATGGACCAATACAATTAATTAGCACTTTTACTTTTTCTACCATTTTATTAATAGATTGTTCATCTTTTACATCCGCAATAAAGATAGGAATACCTAGACGGTCATTAAAATATATTAATATTGCATTCTAATTTTAAAGATATTAATAACCATGAATATTTATATGATAATTTATATATTTAATTAAATCATAAATCTTACTAAGATCTGGTGCGTATTCTTTAAGAACGGATTCTAATGCCTCTTTCCTGCGTCCAGCTACTCCAAAAGTAAAATTATTTTCTTTTGTATAACGTGCCGCTTCTTTAACCACGTATTTTCCACTAAATCCAGTAGCACCAAATATTATTACATCCAATTTTTCGTTCTCCATTTTGATGATAATACTTTACAGCATATACGCGCAATATGCAAGATTTCAATTGTGTTTTAAGAGGATCACTTTATTAAAAAAAAAAAACAATAGTAACATAACTGCACTTATAAAAACATCTTAAATCTTCTCAATTAAAAAAATTTTACAGTTTGTAATTTTAATATTTGATAAATCTTATTTTTATGGCAAAATATTTTCTTTATAATTTGGTTTTATATTCCTCTAGGAACAGTGCTGGCAGATCGTGGGTAATTCTTACCCTCTCCCTGTGCTACTGGGATGGCACATAATGAAAGTTTTCCATGTCCGTGTGTTTGGGATGTCGAAAGAAGTCGAGTGTAACCGATGTTTTCGGGCACGCCGGAGTGGCACACTATGAAAGCGACTCGTCCGAACACATGGACACATTTAATAATACTATAACGGGAATGATAATGTGTCACTGTTCTTGAACAAGTTGTTCTTTCTACTTAAATTTTTATTTTCCTTGATATTATTTATTATTTCAATTAAAGTAAAATCAAAACCAAATCAAAACGTGTAGTCTTTTGATAATAAATATTTAAATCTAATTGTAATTTATAATTTCAAATATTAGATAGATTACCGAGAGTATTAAAGTTCTTATGTTTCGTATAATTTTGTATCTGAATGCTCGCTTTGCTACGTTAAAATACTATCTAACTAACTACGTTATAACTATCAGCTTATATAGCAATCTGCGTAAAATTTTCTTGTTATTATATCTTAAATATGACTTGGCAGAATATTGCTGAATTTAAATAAATTACATACACTATTTAAAGAGCTCATATTCTATAAAGAGCAACACTATAATTATTTCAAAAAAAAAACTGGAACATAACATATTTTTCTTATCGTTCAGAAAAAATTATTTGCATTATATCGTATATTCTGAAGTAAATTTTGCAATTATGATAATTAGCAACTGTATACAGAGTGATCTGTAACTGGTAGTATAAGCTAAAAAAGGTAGAGTCTACATGAAAAAATAAATCGAAAATAAAGAATAACAATTTTTCGTTTGAAGCTTTGTTTCAAGAAAATCGACTTTGAATTTTTGCAAAGTACGACTTTTCGTTAGACCGCGTCAATCCCGAGTGACTGACGTTCAACTATTTTTTTATTACTCACAATGAGAGTGCAAGATCTTGCCCTCTGAGATTTTGTTCAAATTTTGTAGGATGATAGATTTTGCTTTCCTGTTTACGAATATATGAGTGATTCTCAGATAACTGTGATTTTTACAACTCAAAATTTTTAAAAATTAAAAATGCCTTATAACTTATGTTTTGGGTACTATTGTTCCTCAATGATGCTCAGAATTAAGCGTGTAATGTAGTTCTATTACAACTTTAATAGACAAAAAACTAAGATAAAAATTGTAAATTTCAATGCTACGGTACTGACATAATTTCCACGGTACTGACAAATAAATGAAATATTCAAAGTACTTACTTAAATCTTTTTAAAATCTTAAAATAATAAAACGAATGATAAATTATAATACTCTGATAATGATACAAAGACTTTTTTGTATTTTCTTTCTTGATTTTAACAATCTTTAAAATTTATTAATGATAGAATTAGAATAATAATTTTTATAGTAATCTTTGAATGTAACTAAGTTTAAAATTAGTTAATAAATGAAATTTTCAACAATTATAAATGTAAAAAACAATGATATAATTTTTATATAATTAAATATTAATCTATAATAGAATTTTTTATCAAAATACTTAGTGAATCATTCCTTATTTCTTAAACTTCGTCGAAAAGTTACATTTGGAACAACTTTTGGTTTTTTGATTTCACTCCTGACTACGGGGTCTTTCTGAGATCTTTTCAACACTTTCTGTGCCTTTGCAGAAGGTAATGGCAAGCGATTATCACTGTAGTTTATTTTTCCCATCGAGAAATGTTCACATATTATGCCAGGTTGATAATCGAGACAATGTATTAGGCCAGGGTTTTCCCTACTCCAAGTGTATTGGTATGGTGTATTGTTTTTTTTAATTCGTTTCTTACCCACCGAAGCCCGTTTAGAGATATTTTTATTAATGTCATTGTTGTTGTCATTCATCTCGTTGTTATTTTCGTCCGGAGCATTGGTTTGGAGTTCTTTTTTCTTGAGCCGTGATGATTTTTGCCACATATTTTGTAATTTTCGCCGACATCGTTTTTCACCTTCTGTCAACTGGTCAATTGATTTTAATTTATTATCAAATTTCCGCTGTACGTATCTCTCTCGTTCTTTTTGACAATAATTTTTATAAGCTTCTGGGTCTTCTTTAATTTTCTGCCGCCGTAACCTTTCTGCTTCTTTTTTTTTTTTTTAATTTTTCATCTTGCTGAACTTTAGTAATTATTTTCTTCTGTATCAATACACATTTTTTTACTTATTGTAAACAGTTTATTATTACACAAGTTTTGGAGCCCAGGTATATTTTTAAGTCTTGTCCGGAGTATTGGAGCCATTTTTCATAAAACTAGAACAACTGAAGATAATAATAAATTAAAATATTAAGGAAATATGAATTTGAAAATTATTTGTTATTTTTACCATGGTACTGACATCCGCGGTATTGACATTTGAATTTATAATTAATCTAACCTTATTTTTGGCACATAAAATGATTTTCCAAACAATTTCAATTGTACACGTAAAATTAAATATATATTCTGAATAGTTAATCTAAATATTGTATTAATATGTGTAAATTTCAATATCATGGTACTGACAT